AAAACAACTGATTTTATAACTTGCTGCAAATAATAAAATACCAGCAATTTTCAGCTAAAATACAAGTATTTTCCAAGGTAAGTAAGACAATTAGCCAACAAGATGATCTATGTTTGAAATAAGAAAAAAATGATTACATTAACTTATTTCATTCTAATATCTTGTATTTTTTTAATAGTTCAATTGAAGAATGCATTTGGCACATTAACTGTAAACGTTGTTTTGTCACCTGTGCATTTTAATGCTTTTATACGGCATGTTTAGGTCATTGTTGTTCAAACCTGAACAGTTTTATAAAGCAGTTTACTGTATCTAAAGTGTGGCCTCTCCTTGATAAGCAGCACAAGTTGGGGTTTGACTCATAATGTGATTACCGGATGACTCAGCATCTTATCTTTATTGTAAACCACGGCAACTTCAGGGTAAATCTGAAGTTTCTCTTCGGTGAGAAATCAGCGTAGAATATGTTTTTTTTATTCCTGTAGTTAAAATGGATGTCATAGAAAATGTTCTAGGTTGCGTTTTAATAATCTGCATAATAATGTGGTTAAAAACGCAGAAATTGGAACATGTGGTGTTCCTCTCATGTTTGATCCAAAGGATTTTAAGTATGCAATCATAAAAGGCAGGGAAGAGAAGGAAATCCTCCCACTGGAGAGAATGACTGTAGTGGAAAAGCAGTAAACGTTCCACGCCGCCCCTCTGTGTCCCTGCAGCTCAGCGCTCTGCGCATGAACTTCCCATGGTGGAGAAGCAGGACATGGACAGCTGCTCCGTCCTGGGCGGCCAGCAGATGATCCTGACCGGGCAGAACTTCAGCTCCGACTCAAAGGTCGTCTTCCTGGAGAAGTCTCACGGTAAGCGTCACACGACTCCCCGATTCAACCGAGCTCTGGCTCATAAAAATCTTTATTGCTCGTCTTTGTGTCAGCTCTTCTGTTACGCAACGTGGTGTCAGAGTAACGCCACAACACAGAGCGTTACTAATGAGTCACCGTGTTTGTGCAATAAGTCATCGCTGTTGTGTTTCTTTTCATAACCATTGTTTCACGGATGATAACATCAGTTATTTGCATGATCCAGAGGATAATGCTGCTGCCTGACTTCCTCTTGCTCTTTTCTTCCTCAATGACTTCCATAATGTCTTATCACTCAAAGGGGCCTTTTGTTGCACGGCTCACGTTCCCGTGTGTCATTTCAAACGTGCCATGTAGATCTCTGAAAAACAAATCCAATGTTCTTTATTAATGACATGCTTTTGTGAGCACGTGATTACAATTCTATGCATTGTTTTCTACCTTTAGTTTGATTTGCACCAGCAGATGCAAACGTCTCACTTTTAGATCTAGATCTCCTTCAAGATGCCTGTATGGCCGGGCATATACTGCATGATTTTTTGTCGAAAAAATGCACGATTTTCCAGTCGTGCGAGAATTTTTTTTATCAGGCTGACTTTCCTTTTTTTCTTTTTATTTTTTTGCCCAACAGATTTTACTTTCACAAGTGGAGCGGTGCCGCTATCGCCATAGTGCTCCGCTTGATTTATGCATATAAATAGCTTTATTATAATTAATGCAGGGAGTACAGTGAACCCTCGTTTATCGCGGGGGTTACGTTCCAAAAAGAATCTGCGATAGGTGAAATCCGTCAAATAGAAACCTTAATTTTTTTACAGTTATTATACAATGAAATATTCAATACAACATTGAATTCAAGGAACAAAAACTTTTTACAGGCCCAAGCATTTGTTTAACAAATAAAAGTACGGTATAAACGCTGTTGTCTGTTTTTTTTTACTACTGTACTGTACTGTAAAATAATATAGTTATAAATAGATAAGTAATAATTTTAATCATCAATACGAAATGAAGGGTTAATATTGCGGGGAGCAGCACCGCCGTGACGGATTGGAACGGGAGAAAATGAAAAATGATTATGAAAAAAATACAAAGTACAGTAGGACAAATAGTGACTGACGTGTACAGTACAGTATTTCACTGCTGTTTGACGGAGCCGCTGCATCCTGATTGCTCTGTGGCGTTTTTTTCTTCTAAAGCCTGCGGTGCAGGTGTGTTTTTTGGAGAGAAGAACATAGTTATCGGTAGTAGTTGTCGCTCTTTTTTCTTCTGGGCCAAAAGATCCTTATAAACCGACATGCCACCATCGATTATGTTTGATAAAGTTTAACAATGCATGATGCAAATCCGTGAAGCAGCGAGACCGTGAAAAGTGAACCACGTTATAGCGAGGGTTCACTGTATTGCAGATTATATGGACACTGCAATGTAGGTAGAACAGGAAAGGAAAAGAAAAGGAGAAAAGATGAAAGAAAGAGGAGATAAAAGGGAGACAATGATAAAAGTTCTTCTGTCTGCTTCATCGGGCCGACTTTCAGCCTCATGGTGCGTGGTGTAGGGGGTTAATGAGGGGCAATCAACCTCTCACGACCACCTACCAATCAGGAATCGTGAGGTCAGGAGAAAATCGACGTGTTTGAAATTCAGTAGGTCGTCGTAAGCTGGTCGTGGAAAAATCGCTCAGTGGGCAAACAAGGATTCTTCTTGTTCTTCTTCCTCTCAGATGTAAACCCAGCAGCATGGCGGGGGGTGCAAGTGAAATGGAGTTCTTTCAGTAAAATTGACAGACCGTAGTAGGCACGTTTGCTCAGCTATATCTTTGTCCAAATACGTCGTCGCCTTTTCATTTTAGGGCTTTCAGCAGAAAATTGCACAAATTTCCAACGCAGCGCGTTTCACTCTAGTGAGCTTTAGGGGTGGAACGGTTCACAAAATCCACGGTTTGGTTCGGTTCACGGTTTCGTGGTCACTATTTTCAGTTTGGTTCGGTATATGTTGATTGTTATACCGAAATCCCATAAAAATTTGTAAAATTAAAGAAAAAATCCCCAAAAATTAATTCATTGTAATTATTGTTATGATCTGCGGAAACCATGGATCATTTCCGTATGTTTTGCTGCTTTGAATTTAATCATCTGGCGCATGCTCTCTATCATCTCCAAGGAAG